AAAAAACGAATCTAGGTACCTGTGAGAGAATTTTGCAGGTGTAATTAAGGCCCCAAACAGCTGATCTTAGATAAGGAGATTATTCTGGGTAGACCTGACCTAATTAGGTGAGCCCTTAAAAGGGGCCGGGCTCCTCCTAGAAGAGATTTAAAGCAGGCAAGGGATTTGATGAGTGGGAGGTTCTCCTTGCTGACTTTCGGGATGGAGGGGGTTGTGCAGAAGGTATGTCAGAGGCCTCCAGGAGCTGAGTTATCACACGCCAACAACCAGCAAGGAAACGGGATGTCAGCCCTACAACCACAAGGAACTGACCTGCCAAGAGGCAGAAGGAGTTGGAGGCAGATTCTTCCCAAGAGCCTCAGATGAGGACGCGGCCCTGAGCAGAGAAGCCAGCCATGCTGTGCCCAGACTTCTGCCCCACGGACGCTGGACATCGTGGGCTAACGAATGGGTGTTGTTTCCAGCCCCTAAGCTTGTGGTGGTTTGTTACACAGCAGAACACTAGCACAGGGTAACCATCAGATCTGCACCTTACAAACACTTGGTGAGGCTGCAGGCCCGCGCCCTTCGCTGAGCCCTGCCACAGCCCACTTGCCTGTTCTTAGCCAGCTCCAGTGGGAAGGACTGGCCGCCTGGCTCTGAGACTTTTTTTCTTGGCTCTTGGGTCACTCCTGCTGGTCGCACGTGTCAGGGCCTGCTGTCTGGAGCTCTTCGCCTCCACAGTGACTTGCACACTGGTGCCGACTCTTGCGCCGGGGGAATGGGGGCTTCCCACGCATCCCTCTCAAGTCCGAGATACTGCCTCCTGCCTGCCCCGTCCTGCGTGGGCCAGCTGCACGCCCAACAGGGGCACGTCCAGGTCCCCCAGATCTGGTGTCTCATGACCCCACCAGTCAGGTGAGGCCCGCCTGCCCCAGAGCGCTCCTTGCAGAGATGTGACGTGCGGCCCTTCTCCAAGCAGCGGTGGCTTGTTAACTCCCCGGAGAGAGAAAAGGAGGTCTGTGCGCTCCTCCGCTTCAAGAGTCAGCACATCTGGTCCCTGGACAGAGTGGCCACTCGTGTGTGGACTGCCTTTAGGCAGCATTTTGCAGAATGATCTGGTATACACGCATGCACAGGTGGTGGGTCCCAGTTCCTTAAAGGGCTCAGCATGCCCCCCAGCCGCCTCCCGCGTCTGCACGGGGCTGTGGAGGAGCTGGAGCTGGTTCCGATCGCCCACTGAGCGGGGTCCTGCCGGGTGCACGTGGAACCCTCTGAGGTGGTCACCGTGTCACAAGCCCCCTCCCAACTCTCCTCTGTCCTCTAGCACTGAAGGGCATCCCTACCTCTTCCCCAATGTGACCGGGGGTCTGTGTGTGTGAGGAAGCTTGCCCCCTGACCCCCGGCACTTCATGTGCCCTCAGCATTTGGGAGACAGATGCACGGTCATGTACCGGCGGTATGGTCGCTCCCGTTTGCCCAGACCACGCACACTACAGTGGACAGAGTCTTCAGCTGAGCCCACACAAGTGGGTTCAGCTCACCTCTGTGAGCACCACTGCCCTCACACGGGGGCCCAGCAGAGAAGGTGAAGGCACGCGATTTCCCCTCTGCCTCCCTGCGTGCCCTTGGGAAGCTCCTCAGCCTCACTGTGCCAGTCCCCAGCCCACCCCCATCCTGTGGAGAGCAACACCTGCCCCTCGCTGCCTCCCAAGAGTAGGACAGAGATGAAACAGCCTCTCCTCTCAGCTGTGCTCAGGTCCCGAAGGCAGGCTGCACAAACACCAGATCAGTACAAGGCAGAGACATTTCTGAAAATACACTCTCAGGACGCCTGGGTGGCTCAGTCGGTTAGGCGTCTGCCTTCAGCCTGGGTCATGGTCCCAAGGTCCTGGGATCGAGCCCCGCATCAGGCTCCCTGCTTGGCGGGAAGCCTGCTTCTCCCTCTGCCGCTCCCCCTGCTTGTGCTCACTCATGCTCTCTCGTCTATGCTCTCTCTCTCTAGCAAATAAATAAATAAAATCTTTTAAAAAAATACACTCTTAACTGCATTTTCACAGTTCACTTCTCTGCTGGAAAGGTCATTCACTGGAAGTTTACTAGGACCAAGAGCAAGAGAGGGATCGGAGATGAAGAAGGGTTCCGTGGCCCACAGCTGGTGCAGAACACAGCAAAAACAAGGTACTCCGATAAGAAGACTCCTGCCGTGCCAGGCCAGAAGCCTGGCCATCCAGATGGGGTCTGATGGTAACCCTGCAGCCAGTAGCACGCCGTAAGTGCTCATGCACATGCAGGGAACGAAATCAGACCAGACGGGAGTGACGCAGTCCGTGTGGGATTGTCTGGAGTCCTGGTCTGGCTCCAAACAGAAGGCTGGGAGAAGACACACAGAGGGCGGGGCTGGGACGCGAAGGGCCGGTGGAGGCCAAAGCCCAGGGAGGTAGCTCGTGGGGAGACCTGCCTGGGACAGGGCCGTGACCTAGAACCAGCAACCTGGATGTCACAAGGCACCTTCCTGAGAGGTTTCTCAAGAAAAGACCACTGCTTCACCTGTTCCCCAAGCCCCTCCTTACCCCTGCTCTTTGGAGCCTGGACGCCCGGCCCCACGATGTTGGTGTTTGCAACCATCCTTTTTTAAGGGAGGACTATTTCTGAAAATATAGGGCAGATTCCACTGATTTCAACCACGAGTTGGGCAGTGATTTAAGACCTTCAAAGAAGATGTTAGTTTCCACTTGATTTTTAAAAATAAAAACACCCCCAGACCTCAGCTCTCAGGTGTCCGAATTCTCTGCCCTCATGAAATGATTCTTCCAGTTCCTAGGCTATATTTACAGTATAATGATGTTATTTTCCTTTCTCCCATAGCCCTGTGGGTTCTTTCTTGGCTCCATCTATCCGGGTCTTGATTAGAAATCCATGCTAACCAACTTTCGGCTGGTTACTGGAAGCCCGTTGTAACTGACAAAACAAATGAAGTCTCTCTCTGTTTAGTCAGCGGAACCCGCATCCTACTTGAGCCAGCGAAGGCCTTGGGGGTTTGGGGAATTTGAAAAATTGAGGGGCTTAGCTTACAGATACAATATCCAAATGGCTCCCAGTTGGAAGCGGGGAGTGGATTTGTATCCCATGTTTCTGGCACAGTCATGTCCTGAGGATTTGTTGAGGGCATTTTCCCTGCACTGCTTTTCTCTTCCTGCCTCAAGCAAAGCAATTACCACTTCACCTCATGGCCAGAGGCGCTGGCAATGTGAAGCAGAGCTATTACAACTTGGAAGGAAAGACACCAAGGGACAGTGAGTAAATCAGAAGGGTGGCGAAGATCCCCACCAGGCAGCCTTCCGCCCACCCTCCGCTTGGAGGCCACACCATAACGGAAATGGCCCCGGCTGCATCAGGACAGCAGACAGAGCAGCTGCTGTTGCCATCCCCTCCTACCCCCAGCCCCCAGAAATGATGGGAAACCCATCTTCAAAAAATCCTCAAGCATGTCAGGAAAGCAAGGAGCACTGTTTGTATACCAGAAACCATGAGCAATCATAAAAAATGAAAGGTAGACTTTTATTCTTCTTGAAAAGGGAAACCACAACTCAGAATGCACAGGGAAGGAAGCTGCTAAAAAAGGAGGAAGGGGATTCAGAGGGGCCAAACCAGGGGTGCCAGCCATGTGAACAGGAGGGGGCCAGATGCTTGGACCACATCTGCACAGAGAGGTGTTGTCAGCCAGGAGGACTGGAAGCCCAGCAGTTGGGCTTGTTACCCAAAACCAAGAGTCACAAAACTCAACTCTAAAAAGAACTTACACATGAGGAAACAGAGTTACTACAGCAGACAGAATAACATTTTTAGAATATATATAATAAATAGCCTCAGATAGCCTCATCTTGTTAAAAAAAGAGATGATAGATTTCATCACCAAAATGAAAAAACTCAACATAGAGGCCACACACCACAATGGATATAGCAGAGAAGGAATCTGTGAGCCGGAAAACTGAGCCAAAGAACCTTTCCAGAATCGCTACGTGAGCTCCTGTGCACTTGAAATGTTGGCTGGTTTGAATGTGAGACGTGCTGTAAGTGTAAAATATATACCAGATTTGAAGACTTAGTGAGGAAGACGAATGAGGAAGAGGAGAAGGAGGAAGAAAATTTATCTTATATGTCTTTTAAAAAAAAATACGAATTACATATTGAAATGATATTTTGGATACACTGGGTTAAATAAAATAAATTAGAGTGGATTTATTGGGTTTTTTTACTTTTTTTTTAAAGTAGGCTCCACACGCAGCATGGAGCCCAACGCAGAGCTTGAACTCATGACCCTGAGATCAAGACCTGAGCTGAGATGAAGAGTCGGACACTTAACCAACTGAGCCACCCAGGCTCCCTCTTTTTACTTTTTTAATTTGACTACTAGAGAATGAAACTTCCTAGGTGGCTTGAGTTCCATGCCTACCGGATGGCACTGCAAAAGGATGGCGGGAGTATGCCAAGTTACGATGTGGGAGACAGATCTGAATGAGTCAGCATGTTTCTCCTTGCAGGAGGAGAGGAAGAAGGGAGGGAAAGAAACACTGAGACAGCAGAGGAAGAATGTCCAGGACTGAATAAAAACATCCATGAGGTCTTCTGATTGGAAAGAGCCAGTGATGTTGAAAGGAAGTGTTCCCACGAAGGTGGGAACGAGACAAAGATGACTGATCATCACCATTTAACACTGTCCTGAGGCTCTCGTCAATGCAAGAGCACAACAAAAAAAGCAAAGCAAGAGACATTTTCTGCTTGCAGGTGAAATGACTGCCTGTATGCTCTCCCCCGCCGCTCCCCTCTCAAAAGGCCTGGCGCCAGCAGGCCTTCTCCACGTTCCAAGCCGGGGATACATTCTCCAGCCTCCAAGGCCTGGGTAAAAGTCAGACCTATCAGCACCTGCTCCTTCCCTGTAATGACCCATGAAGAGCTGAGCTGCGCAGCAAGAGAACTGGGAATACATCACTCACCGGGGCCGTGGGAAGGGGGCTTACCTACGGATGGCATTGGCGAACTCGGCAGCCAGCTCACTGTCGCTACACGTTGTCCTTAGTTCAGCCAGTGAGAGAGCTGGGGAGGCGGCATCAGCACATTCCTGAGGACGGCAGACACATTCTGGTTAGCCCTGGAGCCAAGCCTGACAGCACCTTGGAGGCGCAAGGCAGCTCTGCCCACTTCTTTGGACCTTTGTAAACTGGCTGGTGGGCCCCGGGGATTCCCGGCGTGCTCTGAGCTCTCCCCACACACGTTCTCCCACTGAGCCATCGTGGTGACCCTTTGAGGCAGATACTGTCTTTATGCCCATTTACCAAGGAGAAAACTAAGGTACAGAGAAGTTATGCTGCCCTGAGCCATCAGCTAGGACAGGGTGGTATCAGGATTCAAACCTAGGTCAGCTGGCTACACATCTGCGCTCTTCACCACTGGGTTAAGCCTCTTGTGATTCATAAAAGACAAGTGGGAAATGCACCTGAGTTTCCTTGCCCCTCTCCCAACCCACTTCCTGGGAGAAAACCAATCTTCTCTAGATTTAGGAGCTTTAGTGGGTACAGTATAATCATCTAGAAAACCCAGGAAAAAAGGAAGACAGATGTGCACCCTCTGTGTGTGTATGTGTGTGTGTGTGTGTGTGTGAGAGAGAGAGAGAGAGAGAGAGAGAGAGAGAGAGAGAGAGAGAGGTGGGTGCAGGTGGAGCCTGACACAGGGCTTCCAGCAGGCCTCCATCTCACCACCCTGAGATCATGACCTGACCCCAAATCAAGTCAGACGCTTAACGGACTGAGCCACAGACGACCGCCCCCCTTTTTAATTGAAGTTAGTTGACCATTAGTTTCAGTTGTGACCCTCAGACAGGAATTTTGATGTCATGTAAATCCAATCCTCTCCTTTTACAGATGAGGCAGCATGAGGGCCCGAACTCGTAAGTCCTAAACTGAGCTCGGATCCTTGTACAGCAGCCCTCGTGCCCCTCTGAGCAGACGGAGGGCAGAAGCTGTGCTGCGGAACCGGGGGCCCGGGAGGCGCTCATCTGACCGCCTGCTCAGCAGACTCCTACAGTCCACCACAACCCACACTTGAGACCAAAAAGCCCGCGGCCTGTCGCAGGGGACAGAATGTCAGCGGAAAGGTGTATCGCGATGGGATGTACGAAGTGAGTGCCCCAGTCCAGATGACAGGAGGGCACAGGGTCTCCATCAGCCCCCTCCAGCGCAGGACCACACCCGGGGGGTCCTGCCACAGCAGCCCTGCCAGCCTCCCGACACCTCTCTGCCTGCAGATCCAGGCCCGCAATGCCAGCCCCTAGGATCCGCTGAGATTCCACTACGCTGTGTATCAGCTCCCACATGATGACATTTCCTAAGAGTCCTTAAAGACAGGGGCGGCTCTGTCCCACCCGGTGCCTCTCCGTGAACATGTGCAGTAGTGTCTGTTGCATACAGACAGCAGCTGCAAAACCCGAAGGCGGACCGGATCACACTCGGGATGCAGCCTGCTGCCTGGAGGGAAGCTTTAGAGCAAGCACAGCACCCACCCTGTGGAGCCAGGGTGGATGCGCTAGCTCCCAGCCTTGCCTGCCACCTGTTTCTATAAAGGCCTGCAGGCTAAGCACTGTCTTCTATTTTTAAAACTCATGAAGAAAAGACTATTTCATGATGTGTACACATTATATGAAATTTCAGTGTCCGTGAAGGAAGTGTTATTAGAACACAGCCCACACCCCTTTGTGTCTACACTGTGTCTGCTTTCACACTACAGTTCTAGAACGGCCCGGTTCCGTACTCGCAGAGGAGTCTGTGTGACCTGAAGACCGTAAGATAATGACTTGTGGCTTCTTCAGAGTTTGGCGACCCCTCCTACGGACTGTCCGCCTCATCTACCGACCAACAAGGCTAAATGAACAGCCCAGAAGGGAGAGTGCATTGAAATAGTAAATGGATCTGATATTTGAAAGACAAGATAATCAGCTTACAATAATTTCATTACCTAAACACAAGGTACTTTTATAAAGCCTCTTACTTGAAGGTAAAAAAAAAAAAATTAAAAATAAAGACATCTGGCCTTTTCCCTTAGATTTCTGTACTTCGAAGCCATTCCACACAACACAGTGTCTCCCTCAGTCAAAATAAACACCAAGAACTGGGGGAAATGCTCAGCTCGCGGGCCTTCTGGCAAGAACCTGGTAGGTCCGTTTCCACCACACCCTAGGAGCACACTGGCGAACGCCGGCGCTCTCTCAGCTCTGTCCCAGAGTGACTGGTAACAGACTCAAACGGCTGTACAAGGATTTTTAAGGTGTTGGCGTGGAAGGGGAGACCCCATTTTCTTGAGCCCCAGATATTATCACATGAAACTCTTTGTAGGCTGCTGTCCACCCAGACTCCACTCCACAGGCAGTGGGCAGATGGTTTCACAGGGCCTCTCCCGGTGACCTCTCCTAGGCCCAGACGGGTGCACGTCCTCCCCCGGTAGCATTTATTAGGAACGGAAAGTACAATGCAGAACAAAGAACTTCAGTACCCTGGCATGAGGCATGTAATTCTTTAGGGTCTGGAGTATTTTTTTCCTCCCGTGCAATATCTGGAATAATTCTGAGATACAGTATGATGGAATGAGCTTGGATTCTAGAGAAAAAGACTTCTGGGCTCATGGGAGTTGTGAGTTTGCCAGATGATATCACCTGTCAGCCCACGCTCTGTGACATCCTATGTGTGAGCCGGGGCCTGCCTTCCTCTTCCTCTGCCTCAGCGGCTTCCTGCTTCCCCCCTTCCCCGACAGCAGAAATGCCAACAGAAGCTGAGGTGGCAACACGGATGAGGGGAGGAGGGCCATTAGTCAAATTCGGTTTAAATCCTGATGCTGCCATTTATTAGCTGCGAGACCCCCTCGCTTGTGAGCCTCGTTTCCCTCATGTAAATGGGGTTGCCTGCTCCTTCCTCAGCGCTGAGATTTATAGGAAGCCAACAAATGCAACGATCAGTGCAGATGTGACCGAGAGGCCACAGGCGATGGTTGCTGTGCCAGGCGGGGGAGCCAAGGAGGCAGCCCGGTGTCAGAGCCCTGGGCGACAGCACCGATCCCTCCCCTGATCAGACTGTGGCATGGGAAAATGCTGTAACTAGTACCTAAAGTGCAGTTTTTTTTAAAAAGTGGATTTGGTTTCTTTGCTCTCAAAATGTTACCTTCTTTAAGATCTCTGGAAAGGCTTGCAGTTCCCATGCAAATAAGGAAACTGAGGCTGTGGGGCAGGGAGGGGGCGGTGGAGACTGGGTGGGCAGTAAGGCTGGGGCTGGGGGGTCCCCCGCAGCCCTGCTCCTACCTTGCCGGGCTTGTCCTTGCCGCCGCTGCTGGTGGAGCTCAGGGACCGCGTGCACTGCTCCTTCTGTTCCTCCACCTCGGACTTCAGGTGCTCGATGTGCACCAGGTAGGCCTGCTCCTGGGCCTCCCGCGTGCTCAGCTTCAGCTCCAGGGCCTTCTTCTCCTTCTCCAGGAGGTAGAGCTGGGCCTTCAGCTCGGCCATCTCCTCCTGCGGAGCACAGAGGGTGCGAGGCACCCACGCTGTGGGAGCAGGCCCAGGCATGGGAAAGCAGGCCAGCGACGAGGGTGTCCGAGGCTGTGAGCCGCATGCCTGCGGTGGAGTTACCCCTTCACAGCCTGGACAAGATGACCGGGAGGAGACAAGCCAGCTGTCTCCGCCAGCTGAAGGACTGATGTGTGGACAAAGCCATGGGCTTTGTCACTCTATGGACCGGGACAGAGATAAATGAAGGGGAGTTACAGGCAAACAGATTTTGGTTCACTGTAAGAAAAACCTTTCAAACAACTGGAACACACCCCGCCCCCACCACCACTCCAGGCACCCCCTCAATGGGCACACCTATCTCTGTTGAAAACCAGGTTTCTGGCATGCATCGGCCATGCTCCATCAGTCAAAGAGGTTGTGAAGGAGGGTCGTCCACACGAGGCTGGGTCTGACTAGCTCCCTTCCAATTCCCATTACCTTCTCCATTTTCCATGGCCCCAACCCACATATTCAATCCTCCCTTGGCACCTCACAGCTGAAGCCTTCTCATCTTTTGCCATCAGAAGCAGGATTCTGAAGGTTCTGGCAACACTGCATACTGAGCTAATGGGGCCAGTCACACCCAGAACAAACATAAATGCAAGCTTGAAAGAAGGAGAGATGAATCCATGGGTGCCAGAAATGAAGAAGGAACTCTGCCCAAGAAGAAAGGCAAGGTGGCCATGATACAGGCCAACAGAGGTTTCAGACCAATATGGAGGCCCTAGGACCTGGGCTTCTGGCACCTGTGCTAAGGGCAGGGCAGAGAGCCAGAACAGAGACCCCCTACATGGGCCAGGACTCTCAAAGTGCTGCCTAGAGTAAAAGACTAGAAGATTTCCTTTTTGGAGATGTGGTGAGGAAACTTAGCCATCAGGGTCTGGGTGGGAAAAGTGAAAAGAGCCTCTTTTGAGGAATCAGAGCCACATACTTGTCATATGTAGATGTGAAACAGGAATCTAAGCCAAGAATGTAACAGAAACTAGCCCTAAACCTCTGACCTTGGAAGCACTTTGCTTCCAAGCTGGCTTATCGTGTCCCACTCACTCAGCTCTGACCCTGACTTCTTTTCCCTCTGGGGACTCCTCACGCAACCGTGGCTGATTTCTCCTCTCAGGGCCCATGAGCCGGGTCATGGGTCCCAACAGATCCATGCACAGAACCACTCTGTAGGGACGTCTACAACCCAGGACCCACAAGACTCCGTAGAAGACACAATCTCCACCAAAGATGAGCTGGTATGCATGCCCTCCCCTCAACCCAAACAAAGAGAAAATGGAAAACAAATCACGTGAGACAGAATCAGCATTTACGAGAACCACAGATAACAGATGAAACACTAGAAAATAAATATTTAAAATGAAGAGAGGAAGAAGGGTCATAATGGAAGGATAGGATAGTCAAAAAAGAAGATTGGATTTGAAAAGGAACCAAGGTAGATCATCTAGAAATGAAAAGGTGTTTACTAAAGATCATGTACAAGAAGTGAAAAACCCAGAAAACTTGAGTTTCTCCGCAACTGTATCCTAGAATGAAATGGTGAAATCCAATATAACGTGCTGCTTGTGGGTTTGGAATGGGTGCGCACATCCCCGTGAGCACACTGTGTAGGGAAAGGGAGAGGACTCGGATGTTTATCCTTCAGAAACCTCACAGGAAGGGACCGAAGCCGGAACACCAGCAATGGCTGCCTCTGGCTCATATTATGGGTTCTCTCCCAGCTTTTCGTAATTTCTGTTCATTTTTTTAATTTTATTTGAGAGAGAGAGAGAGAGAGAGAGAGAGGAAGAAGAGGGGAGAGGGAGAGAGAGAATCTTAAGCAGGCTCCACGCCCAGCAGAGAGCCCGATGCAGGGCTCGATCTCACAACCCTGAGATCACGACCCGAGGCAAAATCAAAAGTCGGAAGCTTAACGGATTGAGCCACCCGGATGCCCCATTTCTGCTCTTTTAGACAATTTCTATGATATATACATATTTTGTTTTCAATAGCAAAGGGAATATTTTATTCCACCAAAAATGTCTTTCCTGGCCAGAGTAACCGGGAATTTATCACACATGCTGGCTTGACTATAAAAAGGAAATCCTTAGTCTTTGGCCAAATGAAACATGATGATGGAACACATCACAAAAGGGCAGCCTCACAGCTCATGCTGCAGGGTGCAAAGGCCCACAAACAGGTCTCCTGACTGGGGGAAAAGGCACTGTGATGATGGACCCAATGCCCGGCTCATGGGCCCTGAGAGGAGAAATCAGCCACGGTTGTGTGAGGAGTCCCCAGAGGGAAAAGAAGTCAGGGTCAGAGCTGAGTGAGTGGGACACGATAAGCCAGCTTGGAAGCAAAGTGCTGATTCCTAATCTGCTGTCACTGCCCAAAGTCTTCCCAGGATTCAGCCAGACTCAAGACTGAGCAGCCGCCAAGGACAGGGACACATTGAGCAAGTGACCCGAGTGTGTTGGGTTGACCATGCTGGCAGCTCCTCTTTCCAGAGGTGAGTTAAGGAGAGAGGGGCCTGCTCTCTTGCAGGGACAGTGCTGGTTCCAACAGGAGACACCACTTACGAGCTACTGATGCAGCACTTCCTCGACCACCTGGCCCAACGGACCTGCCTCTGGTTCCTAAGCTGGCTTCTGTCCCTGAGAGCCCCTCGTGTCTCAACACCTGGGGTCCAGAGACACTGCAGAATCCAAGGCTGTGCAAATCAGGCCTTTGTGCACAGGAGAGTGGAGTTTGGAGAGCAGGCTTGGGGACATGGCTCCCAGCTCCTACTCCCCACATTAGGGGGCCCGGACCTGCAGGAGCAGGCCTTACAAGTGCCCACCTCTGCCCCAGGCCTGCTGAAGGCTGGTTGCAGCCCTGCAGGACCATGCTCCTGGCAAGTGATTATTCTGTTTCCACTCCAGCTGGGTGCACACAATCCAACACACTCTGGCCTGAACCTGCTGGGTTCTCGCAGACCCCACAGGTAAGGACAGTCCCCTCCAAACCTGCCTTCACTTCCAACACCAGCCACGAGTATTGGGGTGGGGGGTCCCCGGGCCACTTGCACTTCTCACCAACTCAGGGGCGTGCACAACCCACTCGGAATCAACGACTCGCTCGGCTCAGGAGTGCGCTGTACTTAGGATTAGGGTTTTACCACAGGGGGTGCACACGGGGGCCCTGGAAGAGCGCTGCATGCAGATCTTTCCTGAGCCTTGGTGCCCAGGGATCTTACTGGGGTTTCATTACTGGGCACAGTGGAGGAAATCACTGGCCACACAGGGAACTCAATCTGTGGCCCTCCTCCCCTCCCTGGAGGTCAAGGGGCTCAAAGTCCCACCCTATAATCACAGGCTCCATTCTTCCAGGGACAGCCCCAGTGCTGGTTTCGGCCCCCACCAAACCAGGAGTGGTCTCATTAGCATAAAAAAGCTCAGGAAATTCCAAGGGTCTGAGGAGCTCTCAGCGGGAGCTGGGAACCCAGAGCAGATATTGCTGTCTTGAGAAAGCACTCGGCAGAGGAAGGCCCCGTGCTTAGCGCCCCTGGCCAGAGCCATGCAAAAGTGCGTCCTGCGGAAGGGATGGCAGTGTAACCACTCCCCGATGACGGGCACTAGCTGTCCAAGAAAGCTCCCCCACGCCCCAAGTTTCCAGATGCCAGCAGAGAATTCAGCCTGTCGGCCAGTGAGCAACCCCAGATCTCATCAGGAAACACGGCTGTGAACGGCACTGGTCAACTTCCCTGGAGGGCGTCAGGACCCCCGCGGGCTCCCCATGGCACAGCAGGGAAAAGGGCATCAGGACACCGGGGCTCCAGTCCAAGTGCTGCACCTTTCCGCACCCCGCCCTCCCCTACTCCCCATTAACATCAGCATCCACCCCGGAAGCACCTTAAGCTCCTAGAGAGGAGAGGTCCTTTTCCGGGGACAGGGGCTGCTCCCCACTCTGGGGATCTGATCTGGCTTCTCGTGGAGAATGAGGTGTTACCAGAGCGGAGCTGAGACACCCCTCCGGGGTCATGTCCAGCCCCCGGGACCCCCGACACACTGAAACTAGTCCTATCTACAAATGAGGCTCTGGCTGTCCTCCAGCGGGAGGTGACTGAACCCAGACGGGGTCGACTGGTCATCATCGCTGACCTGCTGTCAGAGGGCCTTCTCCCGTCTCCCCGTGAGGACACGGCAGTGCACGGGCCCAGGGCTGCGTCGGGCCCCACCCCCACGCTACCTTCATGGCCATCAGCTCCTGCATCAGCACGGCGTTTTCCAGATCCAGCCGCTGGCTGTCCCCGCGGGGCTTCACGTCGTAGCTGAGGGGGTCGATGTGGATGCTCTCCAGCTCCAGCATGGTCAGCTTGACTGCGGCCCTGTCATTCCGGAGCTGCTGGATGTAATCCTTCAGCCTCTGCTCGTCTTCTTTGGTGAACTCCGTGTCACAGCTGCTGGCCGTGGAGCTAGTTGTGCTGAGGAGGCGGAGAAACCCTCTCGCGGTTCCAGCCACCGTGAGCGGGTCCTGTTCCTGACGCCTTCCCAGCCGCCCCCCCCCCCCCCGTCTCCCCAGCAGCGGCCCGCGGTAACCCCTCCTGCGCACCGCCAGAAGAGAAAAGCATTCTTCGTGCCGTGGGACACTGATAGCCCCTTTGAGGAGAGACATCAGTCTGAAGAATAACAGAAATGCTTATGACCCCCTTTACCACAACATGTGGACCCTAAAAATGAATTCTAAGGAAATAACCCCACAGAAGCAACAAGATAGACGCTTTGTGGCACAGCAGATGTAGTTAATTATGGTACATTCCCAAAGGGGGGAAGCTATATGGACATCACAGTAATAATTTAGGACACGGTGGAACCATTGTAAACAGAGAAATTGGACAAAAGTGGTATTTGATTACAAAACAGGCGCACATGTGGGCCGGACTTACAAAAAAGGAGCATGTGAAGGAACAAAGTTGAAGAACGAAATACCTATGGTGTGATGCCCTGACACGTGTGTGTACATGAACCTATTCGCCTGTGCAAACACGTCCCCTCGGGGCAGGAGCGGGAGGGTGTGGTGGAAGAGGGGGAGAGGGGTACCACGCAATAAGCCCCCCCACGTGTGCTGCTGCCGTGACAACCTCGGAAGCAGGGCACCCCCCCATCCCGCCCCCACCCCCGCCATTCCTCCTGCGTCGCGGCTGACTATACTGTCCACCACAGGGACTCAGGTCTGCCCGTGGGGCCCTGGGAGGCCCGTGCTGAATGGGGACAACTGCCACACCTGAGGAGCACTTAGGATGAACCCTGAGAACATGGCGGCCCCTGAAGGTTTCTGTATGACCCAGGCCACCACGCAAGGGTGAGCCCCGCCAGGAAACTTGAGGCTCTGGCTCTTAAGAGGGCACTTTTCCCAGCAGTGGGCAGGCTGCCCCCACTGGCTCAGAATGAGGCCCACTGCACCCTGGCAGTCCTCAAGCAGTTGAGGCCGGTGTGGATCCAGTTTCTCTGGACCTACACTGGACCCACCAACACTTGACACAGCCCTCAAGGCTCTGGCCTTGGAAAGATGGCACAAAAACAAGCAGGGGCCCACTGAACTCTCATCAAAACAGGCCAGGTTGACATTATCATCTCATCACAGATTTGGTGACGGAGGCTCAGGGACGTTAGGCGGCTTGCCGGGTCATGAGACTGGACACTGGTACACTTGGACTTGGGCCACCATCTTCTCATTCCTCAGCCCCATCCTCCCAAGCCTCCCGGTGCTAGAAGCTGGGCCAGGAGCAACGAGTGGTCTCCACAGGCTGCTGGCTGCTGGGGGCCCAGGCCTGCCCTCCTCACCTCACCCTGGAACAGGGGTAACAGGCCCGGGACCCCAACTCAGCAGATGCAATTGCCCCATAACCTAGGTGTGACCAAGGGCCATTCCACTCTTGCGTGTGACGCATTACCTAAAAGACAGGGCTTCTGCGGACACAAGGGTGAGGAGAGGGGATGAGCTGGAGCTCCACCACTCAGCTGACTGTGCACAGGAGGAAGACAACATCCTAGGGCTTGGGTGATCTTCGAGTCAGAGAACTCCCGCTAGGACTGCAAGTTCCTGAGCACCACAGACTGGGGCTGCTCTCCCACCCCACCCTCTTCACCCCATCAGGACAGGTAGGATGTACCTTGCAGAGGAAGGGAGCAAGATCAGCCTGGCCAACATACAACACCTCCTTACAGGTTCTGATGGTTCATTTCATGCGGCAATGGGGCTGGGCTACAGTGCCCAGGTGCTTGGCCAAACACCCATCTAGATGTCACTGTGAAAGTATTTTTTTTAAAGCTGTAATTAACATTTATTTATTTATTTATTTAAGAGAGCGTGAGTGAGTGAGTGTGGGGGGGGGGGGACAGAGGGAGAGGGAGAGTCTCCAGCAGTCTCCCTGCTGAGCAAGGAGCCTGACGCAGGGCTTGATCCCATGACCCTGAGATCATGACCTGAGCCAAAATCAAGAGTCGGATGCTCAAGCAACTGAGCCACCGAGGCGCCCTGAGATGTGATTAACACTTAAATCAGATGCTAAGTAAAGCAGACTACCTTCCAGGATATAGGTAGGTCTCGTCCAATCAGTTGAAAGCCTTAAGAGAAAAGACTGAGGTCCCCCAAAAAAGAAATTCTGCCTCCGGACAGCCTTCAGATTCAAGACTGCTACATCAAGCCTTCCTTGGGTCTCCAGCCAGTGTGCCTGCCCTGTAGATTTAGGACTTGCCAGTCCCCATAATCGTATGAGCCAATTCCTTAAAATTAGTCACTCTTTTCCTATATATACATACCACCACCTCTACCCCTATTGGTCTTGTTTCTCTGGAGAACCCTAATACAGAGGTGCTACCTTGACCTGTAACCCAAGCATCTTCACCACTTGGTAGATTTACAGGTAGCATGACTCAACCTCCCTGGGCCTACTTCCTCATCTGTAGTGTTTAGAACAGTGCCTAGCATGCAGTAAGCACTCAATAAATGTAGTTATCATTCAATTAAGTGATACTGGAGGGCCACTATGAGGTACTCTTCTAGGCCCTAGAAAAATCTCCGCTCTCATGGAACTCATTCTAATAGGGGAGGCAAACAAGTAAAATACACAGTACATCAGACAGTGAGAAGTACTGCGGAGAAAAATGAAGCAGTTATGGGGAGCACAAAGAGAAGATGGGATTATTTTTTGCAACAAAATTTGGAGGAAGAGTGATCCAGGCAGAGGACACAGCGAATGCAAAGGCCCTGAGGCAGTGAGCGTGGCCAGCACGAATGAGACTGTGGCTGAGTCAGAGTCAGTTAAGGGAGAGGGAGAGGGGAGAGGTCAGAGAGGAGGGTGTTGGGGGGGGCGCGGGGGGGGCAGGGAGCCAGGTCATGTCGGGTTTTATAAGGGTTGTGTCTTTTTCTCTAGAATTAGAACGGAAGCCACTGGAGGGTTTGTAACAGGGGTGATGTGATCTGCCTTACCCCTTGATAGGCTCCCTCTGGCTACTGGGCTGAGGAGAGATGCAGGGAGGCAAGGGCAGAGGCAGGGAGACCCCTTCTGGGCTATCTCGACAATCCCGGTAAGAGATGGTGGAAGCTTGGAGTGCAGGAAGGAGGATACAGTTATGCTGATCAATCACCATTCCTGTGTTTTCTCAGGCTGCATTTTAAAAAGGACGAGAAGGGAGAAGCAGCAGCACCCTCTGGTTGGAACACTTCAGGTGCCAGTTTCATAAAGAAATGAAGCAGCTCAGGCGAAGCGAACAAGCTAACAGTAGCCCCAGCAGAGGGCGCTGGGGAGGCTGGTGGGACTTCTGAGCTCGGGGGACTTCTCTGGAACAAGGTCCCTCCCTCAGCATCTCTGTGCTCTGCAGTAAAGCACTGCCCGCCCCCAGCCCGGGGGGTGGAAGGGAGCTGGGGGGCGGGTAGGCATGCCTGGAACAAAACCATTCAAGTAGGACTCAGCACTCACCTCCGCGGACCGTCAACACGGACGTGGAGGGACAGACGTCTCAATGTCCCACAGACAAATGAGCAACAAGACAAAAGCCAACCGCAGCGCGGCATTGTTGGCACAGCATGCCACAGGGCTGAGAGTGGGGCTGCGCTCGCAGGCGCGGGTGTCCGCACCACGTGGCGCGGGACAGCATTAACATCTCTCTTCCAGGGAGCCAGGAGGGGGCTTCAAGTATGAAATCCTCTCCCGGGGAGCTGGGGCTCCCGACCGGAGGCTTACTTTACAACCCCCGTCCTTCCTTACGTTAAAAATTGTTTTGAAAAATTTTAAACGTGTAGAAAAACACGGAGATGAACCAATACCCACGTACCTACCACCCAGATGAGTTTTATGACATATTTTCTTTGGACTACTTTTTTTTTTTTTTAAAGAAATAGAACACTTACACTCGAAGTACCCTTTGTTCTCTTTCACTTAAATTTCGAAGAGCACTAGAAGCTAGAGTTCTGTAATTATTCTGCAGGCACTAAAATGATACTATTTGGGCAGACTTCCATTTAGCAGGACTGGTGTACCCCAGTGGCTGTCAGTCGTTGCTGGGCTAGCTGTAGCAGCATCGCCTGGGAACTTGCGAAGAATGCACATTCCCAGGCCCAAGACCTCTAGAATGGGGGACTCTGGGAGTGGGGCCCAGCAATCTGCATTTAAATGTACCCTCCCCATCATTCTGAGGCACAGCCAGGTTTGAGAACAACTGGTCTACCCCATAAGACAGGTGGGCATTTGCATGGTAGCCTGTGAGGTAACGGGATCCACCCCCGCCTCCTCCCCGCCAAAATCTCTAGGGAGAGGCCATACACTCTTGGGCTGATCTGGCAAGTGCCAGTGATTATGAGCACACCTCTAACATCAGACAGACCTGGGTAAATGTTCTTCCTCTACCACTGCCTAGCTTTATGGTCCAGAGTAAATGACCCAACATTCCCAGGCTGCAATAAAGTGGGAATCCGAATAATTCCCCTCTCACCAGGCTGTTGGAAGGGAGACGATGGGTCCCGAAGCAGGCAAGGCCAGCTAGTGCAGCACTCGTTCTGGGGGAGTTGGAGAAACCTCTGTGCCCTTCCCAGTACCTCCTTGCACAGGCTCAGGGGCTCCCTCTAGGTATGACAACCACCTAGCAGGTCATGCACGATACCCAGGCTGAGGGAGAAGCAATACAGCAAGTGCTCAACGGGACTAGAGAAACCACCTAGAATGTTCTAGGAAACACCAACACAGGTGGGCAGAGGCTGACAGGCTTTGGAGCGTCCTAGACCCCTGAGGGTCTGAGCCCCGATACCTGGCCGGGGGGGCAGGGAGGAGGCCTTTATCTCACCGTCTCTACCATGGGTATAGTTTTCAAAAAAGAAAAAAGATCTCCCTCCCCAGATGGACCCTTGTGGGACGCTCAGCACTCTAAAAGGCTCTTACCAGGGCGAAGTTTGATTTCCAGCTACGCACTGCATCCCCGAAGCCCC